ATTGCTTTAAGGGTCATAATTCTTCAATGCAAAAGAACAGCTAGGTCACTGGGTCAAATTGGGGTGGGGCCATTTTTGTTGGGTGGGGCCATTTTTGACAAAGTCCACTTAAGGCAATGATCTTCATCAAATATTTAAACTCTAGAACATGAATGTTCAGATCCTTTCTTCTGTTATAATAATTAAAGCTGTGTAAAACAGGTGAGCCCATTTTAGGGCAATTAAATTTATACAGGACCGCAAGATGATGCTACATGCTAAAATGGAAGCTGAGACTGGACATTGTAGTTTCTAAAGAGTAGATTTTTAAAAATTAAAGTGGAGGTCTACAACGTGGAACTACATGCCATTCATCTAAGTTGTGGGCATTCACAGTAGTTCAACACTATAATAGCTTTAAATGTGCTTTCCTATTCTACATGTATGTTAACTAAACGGCCTCCAGATTTGGTCGATTTTGACCCAAGGGACATAATTTATAATGAAGAACCATGAGGTTACATGTAACATGCCAAACATCACGGACATTGATATCAGCTCGGGACATTGTGGTTTGAGGATAATTTTTTAAAAACTTTTTTAAGGATTTCATTTTTGATGTCTACTTTTAACTCCTGTGACTTCCTGTGAATCTAGTGATCGCTAGCCGCGTGGGTTCAAACCCTGTCAGGGGCAAGTCATTGTTTCCTTGAGCAAGAAACTTTACACTCATTGCTCAGTACCGGTTGGTTCCAGGAACGGATTCGAAAGTGTGTCTATAAGTTTATAGCTTCCTACACAATCAAACTAAAATAAATTCTGTATAAACCAACTCCTGTAACCTACTTTTGCATCAGATTTAAAACATGACTAATATTATTATAAGAGTAAAGCCTTCCTTTCCGTGCAGTTTGGTCAAAATCCACAATCTAATTTATGAAATGTTGTTTTAGGGAAACAAACTGTAAAGATAATGATTACAAGACAACATGCCATCACAAAATCTCATCACTGAGCACTTCATGTTCAGGTGAGCTAAAAAAAACAGTTGGTTTAATTTAAAATAAAATCTACAAATTTTCATCCATTCCTCTATTCCATTTTACATCCCAACCTCATTTTTATGACTAAGTATCAATTTTATTCCATACCTTATCATCATAAAACTGAAAATAACCCCACTAAATATTTGTATTTATATCCAGAATAGATACATTCAACGCCCTATTATACAAATGTTTTATTTATTTTTTGTAGACTGAATATTTACAGTATACTAGTATATACCTTTGATTTTAAAGCCTCCTCACTAAGAGTTTGACAACTGGATGACAGGCACGTATCAATTCCAGAGTCTTTAATATGTTCTCGAGTTTGATTTTCTCGTTTTGGGGTGGGGATTTTGACCCGGCCAATATTTCCTGTGTAAGCGACAGACCGTGGATAAAAGTCGATCTGCACGTGATCACGAATTTGTTGAGCAATTTGGGACGTGTCGCTAGCAATACTCTCAATCTCTCCTGGATGCACAACAAAAAGAAACAAAAGTACTATATCCAATTTGTATAATATTGTATTTCATACCAAAAACTAAATGTTCTCCATTCAGTAATAAAAGCTACCAAACTGAGCAAGGTCAACCCTAAATTTATAAAATGGACTCTTCATGCTTTGCACTAAGACCAGTCCATTGAGGACAAAATTCAGCATTTGTCACAGTATTAAAGACAAAATTCAGTTTATATCACAGTATGAAGTACAAAATTCATATATATCACAGTACAGTGGACAAATTTCAGTATATGTCACAGTATGGTGGACAAATTTCAGTATATGTCACAGTATGGTGGACAAATTTCAGTATATGTCACAGTATGGTGGACAAATTTCAGTATATGTCACAGTATGGTGGACAAATTTCAATGTATGTCACAGTATGGTGGACAAATTTCAGTGTATGTCACAGTATGGTGGACAAATTTCAGTGCATATGACAGTATGGTGGATAAATTTCAGTATATGTAACAGTATGGTGGACAAATTTCAGTGTATGTCACAGTATGGTGGACAAATTTCAATGTATGTCACAGTATGGTGGACAAATTGCAATGTATGTCACAGTATGGTGGACAAATTTCAATGTATGTCACAGTATGGTGGACAAATTTCAGTGCATATGACAGTATGGTGGACAAATTTTAGTTAATGTCACAGTGTGGTGGACAAATTTTAGTGAATGTCACTGTGGGAGGACAAAATAAAATATCTTTCATAGCACTGAGGATAAATAACAGTATATTATGTCACAGTAGGGAAGAAAAATTACAAACTTCAGTATATGTCACACTAGAACTGTTCACTTAAATAGGAGATATATGGGTGAACCAGGCCTCCTTATTTAGTCCACTAGAGCTGCAAATCAGTATTCTGCAGGTCTTAAGACACTAAATTTTTTGTTTTCATTTTTTTTTAAGGTTCACATTTACATGTAAATGCAATTTTCACACAATATTTAGGGTTACTTTACTCTATTTTGGTAGCTTTTACTAGCAGCTATAAATATCTTTGTTTACAGACAATCGTCACATAACTCATTTGTCATACATATTGAAATATATCTGTTTTTCTTGTATCAATAAGTTGTATAATGTTACAGTACAGGTACACCGAAGATTCCATAATAAGCTTATAGATTTTCCTTCCCCAGTGAATTACTCTTTAAGCATCTATATTTACCATGATTTATAGAATTTTTTTACCCGTTTTCAGCAGACACCTTTCCATTTACCGCCATTTTTATTCCCGCTCATTTTCATTCCCTCAATTCGTCACACAGCAAGATATAAGATCATTTCTAATGTATGTCATTTGAGCTGACTCGCCAAAACAAAGATATTGTATAATATAAAGAGGTTAAAATTTTATAGCGCCATGTCTTTTTTTTCTCTTTTTTCCAAAGAAAATGCAGCATTTATACTTGTAAAACTAAATGTTATAGACATTGAAAATTGCAACAAGAATTTCCAAGGTTAAATGATAACCAACACAGATTGCTAATGAACTTTGTAACAAGATAATATATTGCTTTCATACATGTATTTCAATATAAAATTTCAACCTCTTCTGATTTAAACCTATACAAACCGGAAAACAAAAAATAAAACTTTATAATGTTTACATCTTCAATAACTCACCGACAAAAACTTTTTGATTTTTGCTTCTAAAATTTCATCTTTTTTCCAGCGTTCGTCCGTTACTGGACGGTCATATAAATATTCTCCTCCTGTGACGTCAACACAAAATATACATATATTCTCTACACAGTGTCCTTTACATAAATATTCTCTACATATATCATCTATTTTTAGTAACATGTATTTATTTACCCAAATCTATTTATAGTAACATGTATTACCAAAATCTATTTATAGTAACATGTATAACCCAAATCAATATAGTAAAATGCATAACCAAAGGAGTAAAATTGCAATATTGTATTGTATAAGAATAAGAAATGTATTTTTTGTCATCATTAAATAATATGTAATCATTCTTTTGAATTACCCATTTCAATTTAACATTTTATACAAGTTAAAATTTGAACCTTCATCAAATAAAAAAACTACAAATACATCTAAAGGACACATATGCCCCCACTTCATTTGCCTGTCACAAAGGCAAATTATTTCTCAAGTTATTGATTCATCTAAGCAATGGTATCTACCAATCAAATATGGGAGACATCAGTAAATCATAAGCAGTATAAAAATCTATTCTTTATATCATTCTCATAACCTTGACCTTGACCCAAGTGACCGTTTTCTCCACCAAAATTAACATGACCACCCAAGATACTTTCCAACTAAATATGAAAGATATCAGTCAATAAAGGCTGGTAAGGAGCAAAGGTCTTCTCAAAATCTATTTTTAGCACCACTGACCTTGACTTTAGTGGGCCCTTACTCTACTTAAATGTAAAGAACAACCCAAGTAACCCCTTACCATTCCAAAAATGAGAAATATATCCAAGGTATTGTTCCTAACAACAAGAAAGGCATCAGTCCATCATGCAAAGGTGGCAACTTAATATGCTCTTTCTTTGTGGAACACAGCAACTTAGACCTAGTACTTCTCAAGCTATTGATAAAAAAAGGATTTTACACAACATGTCACCGTGACCTTGACCTATCACCATGACCTTGACCTAAAATATCAATAAGGCTTATCTACTGGCTATAGCCAATGTCTGTACCAGTTTCATAAATCAAGGCTTATAACTTACTGCTGTTACCAATCAGACCAAAACTTGATACAGTGTATTTAATATAAGATTGGCATTTGACCTAAAAATCAAGTAAGTGTATAAAGCTTTATTTCTTATCTGAATACAGTTTATAAAAAAATTTTGTTTGAATTTTGAAAAAGAATAATACTAAAATATTTAAAATAAAATGTTTGAAAGAAATATGTTGGTATCTATATTTTCTAATGAGCAAATTGTGCATGCCCAAAATCATTGCCTTAAATGGTTAAAATCCTACTTAAAAAAAGAAGCATAATATTTTGTTGCAGAACGTATTATTCTGTTTACTTCTAGTTTTCATGTGTGTTAAATAATTCTGTGTCATTACTCTAATCTATAATCCACCATAAGATTGTGGAAACAACATTATTTTACTGTTGTTACCATAGATAGACTACTTATTATTAAATTCATCCTGGTTAACATTTTACCCTATATCATGAAACAATAAAAGTGATACACAGTGGTGCGATATGGAATATATTTCACTGATAAAAATTAGTGTTAATCATTAAGTGACATCATCTTTATAACAAAATCTTACCTTTCTCACTAACACTCTCACTTTCTAGATCTAACTCTTCGCAACTGGAACATTCTGGCGTGGACCGAATCTCCTCGTCGGAACTCGATACAGAATGCTGCCGTTGCTTTTTCCCACGTTTGTGTTTATGAGGTTTTGGAGGGGGTGGTCGAACACAATCCGAGGGATCAGAACTAAGTGAGTCATTCCGCATTATACTTTCTAATTTCCGACGGTTACTACGCGATGTTTTTGCAACTGCAGAATTGGGATCTAAATGCTGTTTACAAGTATCTGCATTTCTTTCTAGTTCCGCGATATCTTCTGCTGCACTAACTTGCGTGTCACTGGCTTGCTCTATGTGTATTAAATGCCGATGTTGAGGTGGGGATTTGAATTGCCGTTCTTGCATTGTAGGTGAACGACGATCTCTTCGTGAACCAGATCGCGACACATTTTCTAACGAACTTTTGTGTAATTTATTTTGGGACTGATGAATTTGATCGTGACTACCACGATCGGACATATGACTACTTTTCCCCATTTTATGATCGTCAATAACACGTTCTCGTGAGCCTCGACGTTCACGTTTATTATCTGCATAGTCATGAGGTCTATCATGCGACCTATTATTAAAATTATCTATAGGCGATTGTCTATAACGATCCGGAGGTTCTTTCCGTCGTTCACGTTCGTCACCAGCAGATGATTTTTCATCTATTGAATGTCTAGGACTAGGGGTATCTCTCGTAGATCTGAAACATAACAGTCATTTTAATATAGTGATATCTCAAAGTTACATTAAATTTTGCCCATCCTTGAGAAGCATCAGGCCATCCATGACATTTTTGTGTCACATAATGTGTGGCACCGATCTATCCTATTCACTTCAAGAAAGTAGATTTAAATGGGCTTTTGCCCCCTACAATTCTACATTAGATAAGTTTGTCTTGAGGCAGCACCTTATTCAACCTTAGATTTCATAAAATCATATAATATCATAAAGTCTACCTTGAGCTCTTCATTCAACTTACGAAGCAGACAGAAACATTTAAATAACATTTTCCGAGGATCGTTCCTGTGGAGTTTGGTCAAAATCTACAAAATGGTCTGGAAAAAGAAGTTATTTACAGCAATTGAAATGGCAGGTGAAATTAGTGGGCCATTTCAAATGCTATAATATCGGATAGAATTTTCTAATGCATTTTTTTTTCTTTTCTAGCATCAAAAAGGTATTATACAAGCATTTCAAATAAATAAATGATTATTCAAATGTCATGCACGAAAAATTAATAAATTTTGTTATCAATTTTGTCATATGTAAAATCAGAAGTCACATACTAAACAAAAAGTTGCAAGCAGTCTTGTGAGACTCTGGCAGCAGATCCCTGATCCAGGGGTGATGCATTGGATAAGTAATCCAGAGCTCGAAAGTTTGATCCCAAACTCAATCACTCAATCACTAACAATACTCAAATGATCTTTTTTGTGTGTTTTTTTTTTTCACTTGGAATTTCAGACAGCAGGTCCCCAGTGAATCTCCCTTATACCTGATATTTTAGTTTATTACTGGGTAACAAACATGTGTATGATCATAAAACCTGTCACCTTCTTCAAGAAAGTCAATTCAAAACAGTTGAATTTTTCTCAAAAATAAAATTTGGAAAAATTTAATTTGCTGCTTTTGGGATTTTTTTTTCTTTTTTTTTTTTTTTTTTTTTTTTTTTTTCGGGGGGGGGGGGGGGGGTTAAAAAAGAGGCCATTTTGGATAAGAAATGTGACCTTTATTATTTCTCCCCTTGGAAATACCCTAAAAATGCCTAGAGATATGGCATTTTATAAGAGCATTTCTGACAATTACAATTACATTTGATCATTTTATAATTCATTACATCAAAACCTCTGCTTAGGCAGCATACAGTAGCTCCTAATAATTTCATGAATACTTTATGGTCAGTGAAATTAGTTTTATACTACTTTATACTTTAACCAGGGCTTGCTTTTTCCTATAGTTAAAAAAGTGTTGCATAATATTCGGCCAATCTGTAAAAAATTTTAATAGACTGGTACCACTTGCTCCTTTTACCTGCTTGGGAATCCAGAATCATATCATTATCGAAGAACCTTGAAGAAGACATATCAAAAACCAGTCTCTTCAGGAAGAAAATTTGAGCCGCGCCAGGGCAAAACCAACATAATGGGTTTGCGACCAGCATGGATCCAGACCAGTCTGCGCATCCACCCAGTCTGATCAGGATCCATGCTGTTCGCTATCAGTTTCTCTACTTGTTACAGGGTTTGTACACGAACAGCATGGATCCTGATCAGACTGCGCGGATGCGCAGGCTGGTCTGGATCCATGCTGGTAGCAAACCCATTATGTCGGTTTTGTCATGGCGCGGCTCAAATCATTTTACAAGTTATATAACATACATAACAACTGCTCTATTGATTTGTGAATGTTTGCATGTCATGATAATTTCAGATCCCATGAGAAAATCTCAGATTGTTGAATGAAGCAAAAATCATACTGGAAACTCAATTAACTTTGTGAGCTTTAAATTTTACGCATTTTTTGGTGGGTGGGAAGGAAATAAATTCAACAAAAATAATTGATAAGAATAAAAAAAAGTAAATTCTTAAAATCTAAAAATCTTAAAGCTCAAGATGACTTTTTTTAAACAATGTCCATGGAATGTCACATGCATCTGGGTGTTTATTAATGCCCATTATGCCTCATCAATACTTCTATTCTTACATGTACCTATTCCTCAAAAGCTTTTTATTTTTAGTGTTCTTCTATAGTTTCCAAAAAGTAACTCATTTGCCAATTATCTGAACTATCTTTTTCATCTGTTGCTTTTTGGCAAATTGTACAGTAATAGTGATTTAGTATTTTGTGTGGAAATCAAAAGACTACTTTGTATACACTTTGCTATGTTTATTACAAATTATTTCACATTTATCTCTATTTTCTTCAGGTTACAAGCTTTTTACATGCTCTAAAACCATTATTTAAATGTTATAAAATTTATATTTCCACATTCTTAAAAAGTAAAAATATCTTCCTTTTTGAGGCATAATGTGCCTTTAAGTCACTGACTTCTAATACCCACATAATTTATGTGAAAGACAAAATGACCATTAAAGGAATGTTTCTGATTTTTTAGCCTTTCATACCTAAGAATCAAATCAGCATGATTGCCCTGGTGTGTAACAATTAAAACTAGTGTGCAAAATGAGCAGACAAAATAATTCAGTCCTAAATAATTTAAAGCCACATGATTAGAAAACAAACTTGATATATGTTCCAAGGAATAATTTAATTAAGTGTAAAAATAAAGTCAGTTGTGTGAAATGAGTCTATAAGTTACTAACGTTTTTGCATTTGAACATTGACCTACAAATGATATTGTATCATAGTTTGGGGACCTTTCTGTTGAAAATGTGTCAGGGTTAAATCGTATACATATACATACACAGTGCGTTAACTGGAGTGCGGGTATTAGTTACCCGCACTCCAGAGCATGCCCATTGATAATGGCTCATTTTTGCTGGGGTTTACATATTGTGACGGAAGAGAAGGGGAAAGCGACAGAAATATCATATTCAGATGCTCGTTCATTGGTTCATTTTTGCCGGGGTTTCATATTGTGACAACAGGGAACGTGTTTTTATGTTTGACTATGATACAAAAGAGAAAGAACACCAAAACACTCGGCAATCGTACAAATCAGATAGCCTCGTGTTTCGGTGCTCTTTCTATAATACTTAAACCATCTACCAGTTTACAAATTTTCAGTAAAAGCTCAAGATCATAATTGTCTACCAACAATGCAAAGTAGCATTATATATTTATTAGCTCCAGATTTTGTAGAATAATGCATGGAAAGTGTAATTTGAATATATAGTTCTTGTTCATTATAGTATAATTATATCTTGTTTTGTTTTTTGTTTTGTTTTTTAAGTTAATCATGAAAGGGGCACCACACAGCATGAAAGGGGCAATCAACTGCAAATGTAAATAAATATTTGTATGCACACCAAATTACAGACAGAACTATTATCTTAGACTTGGGGTTTTGGGAAACTCTGACATGGTAAAAGTTACTTCTTATAATAATTAATGTCGAAATTTGCACAAATTGCTTTTTTAGTTACTTTGATTATGGTTAAAATGAAATGAGTCACTTCTACTTGCTTTGAATGAAAATTAGGTTTTTTGTTTATAATGACTAAACATACATTATTTACAAACTTCACAATTATGGTGCTTCAAATAATGACCCATTTAAATGCAATAAACTTCTCAAAATTTGTATTTTTTCCATATTAATTATTGAAAGTTTACACCAACACAAAACCAAAGCAACAGCCAGCCTTAAGGAATGTTTTAGGATGGCAGATCAGGCTATCCCAGTTAAGCCAACCTAAAATTATCTTTGTTTCCTCTCCTGTGACCCATGCATAAGTTTCAGGTTAGGGAAGGTTTTTAGGTAGGAAAAAAAAATTCCATCTTAAAGTGAACTGGTTCATAATTGAAGGTTTTAAATATGACAAATATGAATGTTGTTGACAAGTGTAAGGTATATCATCTGATATTACATATACATTCAAAACTTGTCTAACGTGACCTTCCACAAGACTTTCTAAAGGTCACATAAGACAGGGAGTCTCTTATTACAGGTTTACTGTCAAACGTCCAAACGTTAGCAAAAAGTTCAATAATACTAAAAGAGCATATACATGTAGTGTTAAAACATTTATTTATGATATGATCAGTAAAAGTGAGTCAATTTAAAGAGTTAAAAATTGTATACATGTACAATGTAATTGAATATTTGATTGTTGAATGAATTATTAATCAATAAGTGCCTATAAACTATTTGAGCCGTGTCATGACAAAACCAACATAATGGGTTTGCGACCAGCATGGATCCAGACCAGCCTGTGCATCCGCCAAGTCAGCTGGTCAGGATCCATGCTGTTCGCTTACCAACCCTATTACAAGTAGAGAAACTGATAGCAAACAGCATGGATCCTGATCAGACTGTGCAGATCTGGTCTGGATCCATGCTGGTCGCAAATGCACTATGTTGGTTTTGTCGTGACACGGCTCATTTAAATAGTGTCAGAATAATATTTTACATTGAATGTAAGTTTTTTTTCCGACGTTTTCTTTAACCAAACAGGAAATAAGAACAGAGTTATCTTTCATAACACAGTCGCCAAAAAACAGTGATATGCACCTTCTGGGCTGTACAAATCACGGTCACTAGTCATATAACACTGTGAGTTGCTTTATTCGGTGCAAAATTATAGCTGAAATCGTTGGGCGGACTCAGACAGGGTCAGATAAGTAAGGAAGTCACTGAATACAGTGGGTCACTATGGTAGTTTTGACAATTTATATAACAGATAATAAATTGTCCAAGAACAAAATATTATAATTAATCATATAAATGTTTACAGGCCTTTTTTCTTCTATTTTGGGAAAACACCACTTGGCAAATTTGGGAAATTTGTGTCGTAAAATTTTCTAATTTAGGAAAAAACGTTATTGTGAAATTTGCCAATTTGGGAAAATATGCTAGCATTCAAGGTGTTACAATTGTTAAAATAAATCTAAATAAATCTTACTTAAACTGTTCATCTTTTTTGTCATATCAAAAAATACAAGGACAGGCTAAAATATGTACAAATGTAAAACTGATATATTTAAAAATCCTATTTTTATTCAAAGAAATTGCAGACCAATCCACCTACAAAAAATTGTATTCAACATATCTGAATTTCAAAGAAAGACATTTTGACTGCTTACTCTCTTTAAAAGTTCTGAAAAGTTTTATTCAATTGAATATTTTCAATGCAAAAACAAGGCATAATGTGGTTCTAATTGTCAGGTTTAACTTCTGATTTTTGTAGGTTACGGTAGCAGGAAGTAAAACAAACAATATTTTATTTATAATGGTCAGTCTAAACAGACTTGAAGAACTGTTGGATAATTGTTCATCATCACAATTTCCACAATTAAAAGAATTTAAGTGAAAAAGCCGAATACAAAAAAACAAAACAAAAAAAAAACCCAATTTTTGAAATTCAAGCGATTAAGGGTCTAATAGTAAACTGTTATTATTGAAAATTATGCGAACAATTACCTAGTTCTTGATGCAGATTCCTTTTTGATAATTTCTCTTTCAGGGTGAAGTCTATCCGGCCCCTCTTTTTGTATTCTTCTTGGATCCCTATCATCGGAATGGCGCCCTTTTTCACGCATATCTCTTTCTCTTTCTCTATTGTCTCTATTATCACCCACTCTGTTCCCTAAAGCTTCACGTTGACCCCGCCCACCATGTCTATCCATATCCCCACCACGTTCATGAGCAAAATATCTTTTATCAGTATCAGAAAGTCTGGTTTCGCTATGGTATCTATGTCGTGCCGGAGATTTATCTCGCGCACGACCTCTTTCAGGCGGAACATTATTTCCCCTTTCTCGTAATCTATCGTAACCCCCTGACCGATCCCCAGAATCTTTTCCTGAGGTCCCATTTTCCCCTATTTTCCCCCTTTGAGCATCTAGTGAGTATTGTCTCTTTAGCTGAGAGCTCTGTCGAGTCATTGGCCCTTTATTTTCTCTCTCACCTTTCTCCGATTTTTCAATATTCTCTTTTTCAGAACTAGTATGTCCGCTTTCATTTTTGTCAATATATTTTTGGCGTTTATCGTTCTGTTGACTGGTTTCCGATTTCCCAGAATCCCCTCCACTTCCTCCAGCAGCGTCGACAACGTCCAGGCCAACGGGCCTCGCCATTCCTCCATGATACCATTGTCCCGTCTTTGCCAGGATCTCTTGTTTCTTCTTACACAAATTGCATGCCCATGTAGTCTGTAAACAGAACGAAAGAACTATAATATTATAATATTTATAATATTATATATAAAAAAGCTGTGTTACAACTAATTTTTTTATTTTGGTAATTCTTAGTATTTTAATGTAAAAGCAAAAAAAATTTCATTTTCAATTTTCAAAATCTTTGGAATAAAACTTTTATTTCATGAGATTTACTTCTGTACAACGCACCCAGACCTCATTTTCAAGACGAAAAGGCTGCTGACTATAGTTAGGATATATCCTCATGGAGTGATAAAATTTTCAAAATGTAAGAATGTTTCATTAATATACACAAATTAATACCACACAAGGGTGATGTTTATGATAATTACACAATCATAATATAAATCAGTCTTTTCTGACAAAACTATGAATAATAGAGTCAATACTTGGAAGAATTCCCACTTTATATAAGGCCATTCAGCATAATTGAAGAAGGTTTACATGTTACAGAAATGTAAGATACAATTGCATGACGTATTTATGGCCCTTAATAACCCTTCCCCTGCTGAACTGGTTAAATGGAGTTGCCCTGACAGTCCTGAATTAATGTAAAAGAGTTGCCCTGCTGTAAATGTAAACAGTTCTGAATAAATTGTAACAGAGTTGACCTGCAATAAATTTATAACAGCCCTGAATTAATGTAAAAGAGTTGCCCTGCTGTAAGTGGAAAACAGTTCTGAATTAATGTAACAAATATGACCTGCAATTGAGTTACAACAACAATGAATCAATGTCACAGAGCTGACCTGCGATAAATTTAGAACAGCCCTGAATTAATGTAAAAGAGTTGCCCTGCTGCAAATTTAAAACAGTCCTGAAATAATATAACAGAGTTGACCTGCAATTAATTTAAAACAGCCCTGGATTAATGTTACAGAGCTGACCTGCTGTAAATATAAAATAGTTCTGAATTAATGTAACAGGGTTGACTTGCAATTAATTCACAACAGCACTTAATCAGTTACAGAGTTGCCCTGCTGTAAATGTAAAACAATTCTGAATTAATGTAACAGAGTTGACCTGCAATTGTTTTACAATAGCCCTGAATTAATGTAAGATAGTTGACCTGCTGTAAATGTTAACAGTTCTGAATTAATGTAACAAAGTTGACCTGCTGTAAATGTAAAACAGTTCTGAATTAATGTAACAGGGTTGACCTGCAATTAATTTTCAACAGCTGTGCATCATGTAACAGTGTCACCATGATGTAAATTTTCAACACTGTCCATTTGTAGTTTCAGGGATTACAGTGTTCAACAGCTAATTCAAAATAAAACCAAAAAAACAACAACAACAAATTTAAAATTCAAAACAATAAACAAACAAAATAAAGTTTTTACAATGAATGTGTACATGTCACTCCAAAACAAATTTATGCAAATGATAAAAAAGCAGCATTAATTTACCAGACACATTTCAAACATGTTATGTACTTATATGATTTCAGTCATGTATTAACTAATCAAACTATACCATACAAAATTTGAATAAAAGAATGTCACAATGCTTTGTTGGAACAATAGAATTTTAAAATGCTCATTGAAACTTGTAACAAACTACATTTGGATATTGGAACTAATGGTCATTAGCTTAATTTAGCTACAGTCTGGAACTTGTCATATACTAAAAATGGGTAATGTAACACTTGTCATAAGCTAAAATCGAATAATGGAACTTGTCATAAGTTTAAACTGGATAATGGAACTTGTTATATGATGGAAATTGTCATAAGCTAAATTTGAATAATGGAACTTGTCAAAAGCTAAAATAGGAAACTGGAACTTGTCATATTAAGCTAAATCTAAATAATGGAACAATTGAATCAAGCTAAACCTGGACAATGGAATTTGACAGAACAATGCAACTTGTAACTTGATAAATTTAGAAAATAGAACTTGTTACAAGATGAATTTGGATAAAGGAATTTGTAACAAGCTTTACAAAAGTAATAATGAACTTCTGTAAGATGTTTTGAAAATGGACTTTGAACAATCTAAATTTGGAAAATAAAACTTTACCATGCTAAATGAACATTATAACGAAATTTTCGCAATGGAATACATAAATGTAGTTTTCTTTGAATTTGAAAGCATTTATTTAAAACCAACAGGGTTTTAATAACTGAACAGATATATATATATATATATATTTGTTTTATAGGCTTGTGGTAACAGCCTATTCATTATTGAAACTCAGGGCAATTAAAACAAAACAAGTAGGCCATTATGATTATAACAGTTTTCTGCAGCAAATTTACTGTTTAAGGAAAAAATTGCATCAATTCAGTGAAAACATTAAGTTGAAAGTACAAATTAAGGTAAATACATATAATTTATGGAACTTTGAGGTTGCTGAAAAATTTCATACTGTTTTGAAAAACAAAAATCATCTATGTAAACATCCTTCTACAGAACAAATTTTCAATTTATTTTTTTTTTGCCAATTTGGTTTTCAAATCCAATATACTCAAGGCTGCAGAACAAAAGTTTTAAAATATTTGTACCACATCAAAAAACACTGAAAAATAAGCTGGTGCTGCATAGTTATATAAAAATACATGCTTACAAATAAACACTGACACTTACAATTGAGGGAGATGTATCTACCACGATTTTCGAACCTGGAGGCTATAGAGAAAAAGGAAGGAAAAAAAGTAATACCAGATAGATATATAAGTTTTCATACTACAAGTTTTACAATTTAAGTTTCATTTCACGTTACTTTTCACCATAGGTCTATATTACCACTCAGCCATGGTCTATATTGATCACAAAGTTAACACAGTAATCATTACTGTATAATTATTGAGTAGCCTTAATACAGTCTGCTTAAAGCTAGTTGTATAAAGTTATGCCAGCATTAACATCTAAGTAAGCTGCCCTGGCTAGACCAACTTCCAAACTCTTATTGTGGAATATATCTCTATAATTGATAACATTACTGAGAAATCTCAATAACTGATAATAAAACTGGAATATCTCAATAACTGACAACAAAACTGGAATATCTCAATAACTGATAACAAAACTAAGAAATCTCAATAACTGATAACAAAACTGGGATATCTCTATAACTGATAACAAAACTGGGATATCTCAATAACTGACAACAAAACTGGGATATCTCAATAACTGACAACAAAACTGGGATATCTCAATAACTGATAACAAAACTGGGATATCTCAATAACTGATAACAAAACTGGGATATCTCAATAACTGATAACAAAACTGGGATATCTCAATAACTGATAACAAAACTGGGATATCTCAATAACTGATAACAAAACTGGGATATCTCAATAACTGTTAACAAAACTGGGATATATCAATAATTGATAACAAAACTGGGATATCTCAATAACTGACAACAAAACTGAGATATCGCAATAACTGGTAACAAAACTGGAATATCACAATAACTGATAACAAAACTGGGATATCTCAATAACTGATAACAGAACTGGATATCTTTATAACTGGTAACAAAACTGGAATATCTCAATAACTGATAACAAAACTGGGATATCTCAATAACTGAAAACAGAACTAACAAAACTGGGATATCTCAATAACTGACAACAAAACTGGGATATCTCAATAACTGATAACAAAACTGGGATATCTCAATAACTGATAACAAAACTGGATATCTCTATAACTGATAACAAATCTGGAATATCTCAATAACTGACAACAAAAAAACTAGGATATCTCAATAACTGATAACAAAACTGGGATATCTCAATAACTGACAACAAAACTGGAATATCTCAATAACTGATAACAAAACTGGGATATCTCAATAACTGATAACAAAACTGGGATATCTCAATAACTGACAACAAAACTGGGATATCTCAATAACTGACAACAAAACTGGGATATCTCAATAACTGATAACAAAACTGGGATATCTCAATAACTGACAAAAAACTGGGATATCTCAATAACTGACAACAAAACTGGGATATCACAATAACTGTTAACAAAACTGGGAAATCTCAATAACTGACAACAAAACTGGGATATCTCAATAACTGATAACAAATCTGGAATATCTCAATAACCGATAACAAAGCTGGGATATCTCAATAACTGACAACAAACCTGGGATATCTCAATAACTGACAACAAAACTAGGATATCTCATTAACTGACAACAAACCTGGGATATCTCAATAACTGACAACAAAACTGGGATATCTCAATAACTGACAACAAAACTGTGATATCTCAATAACTGACAACAAAACTGGGATATCTCAATAACTGACAACAAAAAACTGGGATATCTCAATAACTGACAACAAACCTGGAATATCTCAATAACTGACAACAAAAACTGGGATATCTCAATAACTGACAACAAACCTGGGATATCTCAATAACTGACAACAAAACTGGGATATCTCAATAACTGACAACAAAACTGGGATATCTCAATAACTGACAACAAAAACTGGGATATCTCAATAACTGACAACAATACTGGGATATCTCAATAACTGATAACAAAACTGGGATATCTCAATAACTGATAACAAAACTGGGATATCTCAATAACTGATAACAAAACTGGGATATCTCAATAACTGACAACAAAACTGGGATATCTCAATAACTGACAACAAAACTGGGATATCTCATTAACTGACAACAAACCTGGGATATCTCAATAACTGATCACAAAGCTGGGATATCTCAATAACTGACAACAAACCTGGGATATCTCAATAACTGACAACAAAACTGGGATATCTCAATAACTGATAACAAAACTGGGATATCTCAATAACTGACAACAAAACTAGGATATCTCAATAACTGACAACAAATATTGAATAAATCTGTATCTGATAACAAACTAACTAGAATATCTCTATAACTGATAATAAAGCTGGGACATCTATATATCATATTTTTTCTGGTTATTGTCTAAATTCTTTTGCGACTTAATTTGCCTCAATTTTTTTTTCAACTATGTGTATGTGGCCCATGATAAAATATTCAGATGAGACTGTACAAAGGTAGTAAGACTGGTTTGACAGACTATATAATCGAGTGGCATGGGGAGCACGTGTTTATTGATGCTTGCATTCAGAATTAAATAAACATAAACTTGCAATACAAACAGCAGCTGCTGTGCAATGACTGTGGTTGTCAATGGAGTGACAAATTTTCAATAATTAATGAAAGTAATAATAAAATCAATGACACTAATTACTTATTTATACGTTTATTACAGACATTTGCTTTTAAAATGATTTAGTATCACACTTCATTTCTGACTCCCATTAAATCAATACTATATTTTAAACATTGTGGAAGAGGAAAAAAACATTAAAATGTTATTGTGAGATCTCATTCAAGGTTTAAAGGTGCCCTTATTTCCCATAGCAGGGACTCGGGCCAGGGTTCCTTTGTGTTGTTTTGTAGAAAAAGGAGAATTTTGTCGGTAATTAAACAAGAATATTTTACATCATAGGGTGAATAGGTGACAGTCAAAATAAGTTTGCATTTTGTCATAATTATATATGACTTTCAATTTTATAATATAATTTGTAAGAACGATGAATAACTCACAGGGCCTAAGGAAATTTCTGTATTTATTAGTATTGGAATTTATCTGTTATGTTCAATTCATAAAAGTTAAAATTTATGATTTATTTTAAAGGCAGTTAAAATACACATGGAACCTCTAGGATTTAAAGGCAGTTTTTAAGCTTTAAAGGTACTGAGCTTTTAGGAAAATACAACTAGAACCTTAGGATCCAAAGTCAGTTAAAATACAAACAGAGCTTTTATTATTTATATGCAGTCAAAATACACATAAAGCCTAATATATGACGTTATATGCAATTAAAATAGAAAGAGAGAACGCTATAATTATGCCTTATTTGCAGTAAAAAATAACACAGTGAACTATCTTAACATCACATGAATAGACTGCATACTATCTTCATACTTTTAATTCTTCTACAAATAGTCCAAAATATAGACCTTCGAACAATTATTCAATATAGCACTAATTAACTATCTAATTGTTCACAGCTATATTGACTGACGCAAGTACTAACAGTTATGGAGGTCTTACTTACAGTCCAGGGCCAGTCTGCACATCTGTGCAGTTAATTCTGTGAAGATATCAGTGCAGTATCACCCAAGGCAATAAAGCCGGCATCATAAATCAATTTCTACAACCAGTTTTACATTGAAAACACCCCTTTAATTCACAATAGGAAACTCCCAATTCAAAGCCAGATGAGTCCAATAACACAAATTTAGTAGGATACTCATTAAACATTGGGTGCTTGACGCATAATCCATTTTTTTTACTCATGTGGGAATAACAGCTCTAAACATACCATTGATTTTTCATGTTTTGTTGGGGAGAGATTTCTCATTCTGTATCTACACACAGTATAGTCTGTGACCTAAGCTAGGCAAAATTGGTCAAAACTTCAAACATGTCTGTACATTTATTTATATGTTTGACAGTTATTCGCAGGACAAAAACTGTTTATTTGACTTTTTGTTCTTTAAAGCTGTATTTACTAACTGAAGAAAAAAGCTGCTTGCAAAAAAGAAAAAATCCTGCTCTAATCAAACCCTTAGAAATCTGTCTGTAACCACTTTGTTGTGTGTGTGTTTTTTTTCTTTTCAAATAAAGTTTTAAAACAATTAAGCTTGCTAAAAGTAATTTCTATTTTATTATAAAGTCTCTGAAACTTTAAAATGATTTCCTTCAATTAATTCTGTCAATTATTTGGCCAATTAATTGTAGCTCTATTTGTACTTTTCCCAATATTTCTCTTATTGGATTTATATCAAATAATTTTGCACTTGATCTTTTTTTTGTTCCAGCAGACTGGCCTGGCTATATACTGGTGTGGGTAAAGACTTTTGGTTCCAACAGGCTGGCCTGGCTATATACTGGTGTGGGTAAAGGCTTTTGGTTCCAGCAGGCTGGCCTGGCAATATACTGGTGTGGGTAAAGGCTTTTGGTTCCAGCAGGTTAGTCTGGCTATATAATGGTGTGGGTAAAGGCTTTTGGTTCCACCAGGCTGGCTATATACTGGTGTGGGTAAAGGCTTTTGGTTCCAGCAGACTGGCTATATACTGGTGTGGGTAAAGGCTTTTGGTTCCAGCAGGCTGGCCTGGCAATATACTGGTGTGGGTAAAGGCTTTTGGTTCCAACAGGCTGGCCTGGCTATATACTGGTGGGAGTAAAGGCTTTTGGTTCCAACAGGCTGACCTGGCAATATACTGGTGTGGGTAAAGGCTTTTGGTTCCAACAGGCTGACCTGGCTATATACTGGTGTGGGTAAAGGCTTTTGGTTCCAATAGGTTGACCTGGCAATATACTGGTGTGGGTAAAGGCTTTTGGTTCCAACAGGCTGACCTGGCTATATACTGGTGGGGGTTAAGGCTTTTGGTTCCAGCAGACTGGCCTGGCTATATACTGGCGTGGGTAAAGGCTTTTGGTTCCAGCAGGTTAGTCTGGCTATATAATGGTGTGGATAAAGACTTTTGGTTCCAGCAGGCTGGTCTGACTATACACTGGTGTGGGTAATGGCTTTTGGTTCCAACAGACTGACCTGGCTATATACTGGTGTGGGTAAAGGCTTTTGGTTCCAGCAGGCTGGCCTGGCTATATACTGGTGTGGGTAAAGACTTTTGGTTCCAACAGACTGGCCTGGCTATATACTGGTGTGGGTAAAGGATTTTGGTTCCAGCAGACTGGCCTGGCTGTATACTGGTGTGAGTAAAGGCTTTTGGTTCCAGCAGATTGGCCTGGCTATATACTGTTGTGGGTAAAGGCTTTTGGTTCCAGCAGGCTGGCCTGGCTATATACTGGTGTGGGTAATAAAAGGCTTTTGGTTCCATACATATATATGCAGATTATTCATTATTATGCACATATAAAAAACCTACATGTACCTACCCTGAACCCTAATTTTAATGGGGAAACAAACATAATTTTATTTTTTGGCCTCAAAGGTGTGTCTTGTGTATATCAATTAATTAATTTTGTACAAATAAATTTGTTCATGAGAATTTTCAAGTCGACAAGTAATTAATTTTTATTTCTAATTTTAAAGTAAAGACAGTGGCTATGCAGCTAACTTTGTAGATAATGAAAGTTACAGTTTTAAGTAAACAGAGCAGATGTTTAATATTTTGTACACAATGCATTTGTATACAAATATGTAAATCCATAACACTGCATTAATTTTGTCATTTAACTGTTATCTATAATATTGTAACAGATGGGAACTATACCATAATTAACAAACAAAAAACATGATCAGGACATGTATATCTGCAGTGTAACATATTCCGTACAGTTAAAACATATCTATTTCCACTAAATTATGATAAAAGAACACTGCTAATACTGGTATTTGAACGTCACTTAATTCAGAGTAGGAAGCTTTAAGTCTAATGAATCAATTACTGAAACCAATTACCAATACTGAAGCAATAAGAAAGTAAAATTTCTTGCTGAACAAGGAAAAAAGAAAAGTGCCCCTGCTGTGGTTTGAACCCACGCAGCCGATAATCCTTAGATAACTAGTCTGATAAAATTATGTTAACTACTGCATGTGACATGCCACCATGCTTCTTGACTCCAACTTGGGTTCAAGGTTATAAAGATATTTGAGCCGCGTCACGACAAAACCAACATAATGGGTTCGCGACCAGCATGGATCCAGACCAGCCTGCGCATCCGCACAGTCTGATCAGGATCCATGCTGTTCGCTATCAGTTTCTGTACTTGTTATACGGTTTGTAAGGGAACAGCATGGATCCTGATCAGACTGCTCGGATGCACAGGCTGGTCTGGATCCATGCTGGTCGCAAACGCATTATGTTGGTTTTGTCGTGGCACGGCTCATTTTCTTCTATTGGTCAGAAACAAGTTCAAAATGTACACTTATCAATAAAAATCCAGAGATTTGAGACTCAGCTCAGCAATTTTTTGTATATCCTGGAACTATGATCATTGATATAATGTAAGGAATTATGACCTGCATAAAACCTAGGAAAACCCTCAAAAAAACTTAACCCTTAATGAATTTCAGGTCCCAGTTTTAAATTTGGAACAGTCCATGATTTCAATATCATTGTGCCAAAAGTTTTAAGTCTGGTTGTGGTGGTGGTGTTTTTTTTCACTGTTATTGCGTAAGACTGACCAGGTTGAATACTGTTGTCTGACCGTTGTCCACTTTTTATTTCCATATCCCCAAAACTTGATTATTGGGACAGTTCCAAAAATTGAGGATAGACATGTCCTGGTCTAAGATATTTAGCATGCTAATTGTGTTTACGGCCCATTATACCTCAGATATGCTCTCATTTTTTTTAAAATCTTGTTACAGTTTCAAAAGAAATTCTCATTTTGCCATATAAACAAACTATCATTTGCCTTCTATGCACTTTTGGCAATTAATTGGTATAAATATAGAGAATCAGACTATTTTGTATGAAATTCAATACATTTTGCTCCCCTTTATGACACATTACTTCATGTTCAGCACTGTAACTTTCTTCATTTGTGAAACATCTTACATACTCTAAATCCATAATTAAAACAATATTAAACACATATTCAACATTTCTAAACAATTCAAAAAATATGAAATTCTGAGACATTATGTGCCTTTAAGGTAAAATAATAATTCTTGTGCTAGACACGTAACTGAAAGCAATGTATCAATACACAAACTTTGATCAGTTCTTCTGCAACATAAAGAAATAACAGCAGGTTCCTGTTCAAGAGTCTTACAGCATAAATATAAAATCAATTGTTACAGTTGTAACCATTCATAACAACATTTTCTTGAGATACAAAAGAATTAGAAGAAATGCAGCCATTCTATAGTCTACTTTTTGTATATTTATGTTATATGAAGAACAAATAATCATATGATATAAAACATTATATAAACTAACCTAGATATCAAATGTTTTCGCCCGTATAATATTTAACATATCAACCCTTTTACCCCTTTTTCATCATTTTGCAAATTTCACTAACAGTCAATCTTATAATCTTAATATAACAAAATAAGGTACCCCAGCAGGGCACCAAACAAAATCAGTTACCCCTGTCCGCAAGATAACTACATTAATGTACGTTATTATCTACATTACGTCTTACTGCGCTATTTGCAGCAACGTCACCTCTGAAGTATGTTGTTATTGTTGATAGATTACTTATAATTGAGATTTTATACACATTGAATCGAGAGTCAATACAGATCGAACCTACAAAACGCCTTTGTATTATTACCAATATACGAAACCACTTTCACATTGTCCGCAAGATAACTACATATATATACGCTATTATCTACGTTTAGTCTTACCGCGATATTTGACGTCAACGTCACTTCTGAGGTATGTTGTTATTATGTTACAGACATAACCCCAGCAGGGCACCAAACAAATCAGGTACCCCAGCAGGGCACCAAACAAAATCAGGTACCACAGCAGGGCACCAAACAAAATCAGTTACCTAGCAGGGCACCAAACAAAATAAGTTACCCCAGCAGGGCACCAAACAAAATCAGCTACCCAGAATAGCACCAAACAAAATCAGGTACCCAAGCACAGCACCAAACAAAATCATGTACTCAACAGGGAACCAAACAAAATCAGCGCCCAGAATGGACCAAACAGAATCAGGTACCCAACAGGGAACCAAACAAAATCAGGTACCCAGAATAGCACCAAACAAAATCAGGTACCCAAGCAGGGCACCAAACAAAATCAGGTACCCAGCAGGGCACCAAACAAAATCAGGTATCCAGCAGGGCACCAAACAAAATCAGCTACCCTGCAGGGCACCAAACAAAATCAGCTACCCTGCAGGGCACCAAACAAAATCAGCTACCCAGCAGGGCATCAAACAAAATCAGCTACCCAGAATGGCACCAACAAAATCAGCTACCCAGGACACCAAACAAAATCAGCCTACCTGCAGGGCACTAAAAAAATCAGGACCTAGCAAAACCTGAAAGGGCATAGAGTTTGCAAGAAATACTTTGAATTAACATACAAGTTATGATGGAAAACCATAATCAAATATACATTTTGAGAATATTTTAAAAGGCTCACACAAGAACTCTTATTTCTCACCTTATTTTTAACAGTAACCCTGCCTCCACATCTGGCACATGACTTTAAGTTGCAATATGTACATTTATGTCCGACACCATCGGCAAACTTGGTTTTACGGCATATATCACATACGGCACCCGTGTCCGCATTATCCGATCGTTTAGCTTCCTCGCCAACCTTCTCGACCGTCTGTCTGTACGTGTCAAACTCCATCTGCATTTGCCTACAAAATATAATAAGCAAATGGTATATCTATGTCATTATTATATTCAATTATGGGTGTACTGAATTGTTTTTTCTATCACTGTTTCAGTGGTCCAGATTTTTGTTGTCAAATTTGTTGCCTCAGGGATATTATGATGTCCTGATATAATGGTATAAATTTGGCAGTCCCCTGAATATTGTTAAAAATGGAGGTTACTATATGTACGGGGGTGTGCCTCTTGCCACAATAATCAACTGAAACAATAGTGGACAGTCCATGCCTTTTCCCGGTGTCACCACGGGTCAGATTACAAGGCAAATGTGCTTATTTTTTTTCCAATCTTAAAAACAATATTCTCAATAAAACTAAAATCCCCAATATCAAAACTGAGCATATTCCAGACTTGTATGGTATCAGGCAGATCTTTCCCCACGTTTTTATTGTCACATTTTAATGTATTTTTTATGCTTTGAATGATATTTGCATTGGTTGGAATAAACAATTTTGCACAATTCAAAGTACTATGCCAAAAGAACATGAAGAATGTTTCAATACTGATAACAAATATTTTTCCAAATTAAGCAATTTTACGCTGCAAAATTTCCCAAACTGCACAAGGTACTTTTTCCAAAAAAGGCTAGGAAAATGCCTGACAATTGAGATGAAACACAAGTTACATAAGACATAGAATTAGAAAATTCTTAATTTGAATAACGGTATAATTACAGAACATAATTATGTGCAGTGGTTTTTCTCACTTAATTGGGAAGAGGCCTGAGCCTCTTGAGATTAGGAAAAATTGCTAAAATTGCTTAATTGGGAAAAATATTTGATATCTATTGAAAGTAAAAAGCATTTTGGGGAAAACTGAATGATTTAAAGAAAATTTCAGTTGGAAATTCCCATCTGTTAAATAGAGGATATTGAATGAGTGTAAGTTCAATACTGAATTTATTGCACTCGTTGAATAAAATTATATTATGCGAGCCTCTGGCGAGCATAATATTATTTTATTCAACGAGTGCAATAAATTCAGTAATGAACTTACACGATTTTAATATTCTATTTATCACATACACAAAATAAAGACCGTTTAAAGTGAAAGCCATTTTTCATTGAAGTGCCTAACATTTAGCGCGTCTTTACACTATGTTTGTATAACGCTAATGATGTCACGTCAAAATATATGCACGGCCGTGTAATACCATATTTACGGAGTCGCAAAATCGGCACTGGTGAGTGATAAAATAAAATACTAAATATTTTGTCACTGGTAATTGACCAACACAGCAGAAATCTTTAATTATCTTATTTTGTAAACAGTTTTAACAAAATTTAATAATTTTGAAAAAAAAATGAAAAGCCTTGATCTGTAACACATATAACACACATGTCCTCTCTTATCAAAATTTCTTGTTCCCTCTCCAGCCCTTACCCATAAAGTATATTTAACTCTTTTATTAATTCCTTGACAACCCTTCCAGCCCCAATCCATATCATATAATTATGACCTTTTTGCCAAAAGTCCTTTATCCCCCTTCTAGCCATATCTATAAAGCATTATAAAGTACATTTGATCCCTTTGTCAAAATTCATTGATCCCCCTCCACCCCCACCCATATAGTACATTAATTTTGATCCCTTTGTCAAAATTCACTGACCCCCCCCCCTCCAGCCATCATCCATTTAGTGCATTTGATCCCTTTGTTAAAATTTCTTTGATCCCCCTCACCCCCACCCATATAGTACATTAATTTTGAACCCTTTGTCAAAATTCATTGACCCGGGCCCCCCCCCCCCCTCCAGCCATCATCCATATAGTACATTTGATCCCTTTGTCAAAATTTTTTGATCCCTCTCAAGCCCCCATTAATATTTTTCATTTCACCGGTCACTTTTTTGCCAAAATTCCTTGAACCACCCCCCCACCCCTCCCTTCCCTTCATATTTTTCATTTTACCCTCATCAAAATTTCTTGAACCACCACCACCCCATTCATATTTTTCATTTTACTCTTTTTGTCAAAATTCCTTGATCCCCCACCACCCCATTCATATTTTTCATTTTACTCTTTTGTCAAAATTCCTTAATCTCACTTCTGCCCCTGGCATACAAATTGTGCATTTGACCTTCTTATGGGATTCCTTGACCCCTCCAGCCCTTCCCATAAATCCTATATTAACATTCCTGCATCTCCCCATCCCCCACTCATATAATACATTGGACCCCCTTATCAAACTTACTTGATCCCACTGTACCCCCACCCCACCCATTGAGTATATTTGACCCCATTATCAAAATTCCATGGCCCCTTGACACATAATAAATTGTTATTCTATATCAAGACTTACTCATAGTGTGTTCGTTGTATTTCTCAATCATTAGTCACTTAGAGATGACAACATTTTAACTTAATCATTATCACAGAAACAACTTAACATTGAAAGGAAAGAAACATATCTGAGATCTCTTCATAATGAAAAAGTCAAATTTGATTTTCAGAAGAGTAACAAAATTAATTTACTGTGAGTTTACAATTGGTTAAATAGATAGCTAAAAGTGATTTATTGATAATTTTGAGTAAGAAAATATTATATGAGTTTTAGAACAGACATATTATTATGTTTACAGCTTAACAATAATAGAATTTTTTACAATAAAAGTAAAATCACTACTTTGTCATTACTCCATATAAAGTATAACTCATTTACTGAATCAATACTAGGAGGAGAGAATAGTTCTGAATCTGTAATTAACTTATTAAGTATATGTGAACACTAATAGTGTACTTGGTCAATAACCTAGATTTTATCCAGACTTAAACATCTATAATGAAACGGAAAACTGTAATTTCTAGGTTCCCTAGATCTTTTAACAATAACAAAATGTATATATATAATTATAAACTGTAACCCCTACATTCTGTAGACATTACTAAACGTGGGATGATTCTAACGACTCCATATTTAGACAAATAATGAAACACAAATATCCCCCATTGTGAACCCCAATATTTCCAATATGGCGGACAAATTTCGCAGCCATACCGGATCATTTCTTGTTCCCTTTCTTCTTCATCCCGTTGACGCTTTAACACATCTTCAATGATCTTTCTTTCCTCTTCTTTAAGATGCGAAAGGTCAGGCATTGGCGGTAGAGACGGGCGTCGTGTCGCGGACATTTTTCACAGTAATGAAAATCTTTCCAGCCCCCGCCAGAAAAAGTAATCGAGTCCAACCGATGTTACTTCGCTTGACAGCTCGTCTTCATTTCATAAATCCATCCGTTTGCTCGATCAAATTTGTAAAAATTCCATTGTACTTCATTTTAGTATCTATCCTTTATAATAAACTCCATTACAATAGCAGGTATCTTCCATAGTTAAGCTTTAATCACACAGGGAAATAATGTGATACGACATTTCTCTCATTCGGATTCATTCAGAGTTAGATTGGAAAGGGCTGTTACAGATGTTACATTTATTGGAATTTTCTCGTGCTTGTGTAACCACGCGACAGTTACAGCGCGCGCCAATATTGACTTAATTTTGCCGCCAAATAATCGATAAAAATGGCGGCGGCTAATGACAATGTTGTCTACATTGTGCTTTCGTTCAGTTTACATTATGTTATTCAAAAAAATCAATAATTAATTTAAGTAGATCTATATAAAAAAAAATAATTAAGTATATATTGTATTAAAATCAATATTGAAGTGTAATTTCGTCTGCATCATAAAAAGAGATGAAGTCGTTCTTGAGTCAGTCGAATGTATTGTAAGCCTTCATTGTAAATACTTGTAATTATCGTAAGAATTTTATTAGATTCTTAAATATTTTATTGTTAAGTTAACGCTATCAAAAATATCTTTTTTATTCTTTATATGATGTACTTAGCATATTTTATTGTGACGTTGTTTTTAGTAATCTTAGCTGAATTAGTTTGTAGACTTTTCTTTTTTACTTTTCCAGCATATTTTATGAATTGAACTAGAAGAAACAATGAAATAATAAGCATATGAAAAACTACAAAGATCATACTACTTGTAATATGAGAATGTCGTCAGGGTGATAATTTATTACAATTATCATAATTATCGTTGATTCTTTTGTCTGCAAATCACCGGATATAACTCGTGATGACTTAACGAGACAGCGGAATGTTCGTTCGTTCGTTCGCTCGTTCGTTCATTCATTCATTTAAATTCATTCATTTGAATTCATTCATTTGAATTCATTGATTCATTCATTCATTCATTCATTTAAATTCATTAATTAATTCGTTCATTCATTCACTTGAATTCATTCATTCATTTGAATTCATTCATTCATTCATTTGAATTCATTCATTCATTTGAATTCATTCATTCATTCATCCATTCATTCATTCATTCATTCATTCATTCATTCATTCATTCATTCATACATTCATTCATTCATTCATTCATTCATTCAATTACTTACACAATTTGAAACACATAAGAGTACAACAAGTAGTCAAACGCTGAATTAAAATTAAGAGACCAAAAATATCAACTGTCATGATTTATCAAAATAATAACATAAGGTTGTTGTCAGCTTCTGAAAAAATAACAAACATACATTTTTCCCTTGTGTGTTTTGATTTATTGAATATTTGGAAACAACCGCCAACTGTTCATCTAAATATATGCAAACTGAAAATAATGAAATGTGACTGCCCTTATATAAAACATAGTCTGTATGACTTTATTATTATTTATTTATTTATTTATTTATAACGCGCATTAAAATTCCACTCAATAAAGAATCCAGTTTTGAGCCCACAAATCCAGCTGAAAATCCACAATATGGGCCCATTTCAGTTGACAGACAACAACCACTGAAGTTTAAATGATAGCTGGGACATACTATATCATAAGAAAATGGTACTTTCAATAAAAATAGTATCTATTTACAAGATGAAATCAAAGTTTCAGTGGCTAATTTCAAATTACCATGAGTTAAAAAAAAACACATGAAAAAATACATTACCACCGCAAATGTCAAAGTCTAAGAGGTGTATACCCCCATCGATAAGGGCTGCAAGCTTTGGTCGCAAATCTCTTTTAAATTTCTGTCCCACGATGGAAATTTTGATCTTTTCTCTCTGTTTAAAGATTTTAAGCATTTAAATACAAATTTTAGCTACGCTTATAACACATATAAAGATAAGTTTATAATACGTACTTTTTTAAATATCTAAATAGCCCCATTAAAGGAAAAGAAAACAAACAAACAAACAAACTTTCGGTATATAAGGCATTGCTAACGAAAGGAGGTATAAATATTATTTATCTCTCGTGCATAACATAGCACGGAGAAAAAAAATGTGTTATAATAAAATTAATCTCTGAACATACAACCGACAAACCAAGTGACATATTGGTATGATGATGTCGCTAACATAAATCACCATCTATCACGGAAGCCCTGCACGTGTTGAAACTATTTGTATACCAATGACGGATTCTCAACCACATACCGTAATTAGCCCCGTCATCTGCAACAGAAAAAGTGCGAAGGCGTAACATTTCCACAACCTTTTCAACGACCCTCTAGCTGGAAACTTATGTATGCCGAGCATATTAAATATTTATAACCATTTCTTCAATCGATTGGTTAATCAGTGTGACGTCACTGCGACCTGTCTCCGTAGCCAGTCAGTGTAATATCGGAATATTGATCAACTTGAAAGGAGAGACAAGTCTGCTAACAGATAGAGGGTTCATCACTCGTGGTGATTGTGTCGCCTGATCAGGAACTTATACGTTATACTGTATCTTATCAAAAATTGCCTCTTCTTTTATTTTATTTTGGGCTGTTTTAAAACAAATTTGTTTATGTTTTGCAATATACACAATTATCATTGTCTTAAACCTAACTACATGCAGTTATCGGAGGATATGCTCAGCCACGTAATATAGGAAAATTATCTGTAAATGACCTGAAAGGAAAGACCAATTACGGTTACGTAATAAATAGTAGAAAATGTTTCATATTTACAAATATACTAAATGAGATTAAAACGCACATCAGTTTTTGTTGTTTTGTTCTCTTTTTTTTGGTTTACGAAAATAAAGAAGTCCATCAAATATATAGAGGACATTGAATGAGTGTAAGTTCAATACTGAATTTATTGCACTAGTTGAATGAAATTATATTATGCGAGCCTCTGGCGAGCATAATGTTATTTTATTCAACGAGTGCAATAAATTCAGTAAATGAACTTACACGAATTTAATATTCTATTTATCACATATCCAAAATAAAGACTGTTTTAAGTGAAATAAGAGTCATTTTTCATTGACGCGCCTATAGTATAACGCTAAAATTTAGCGCGTCTTTACACTATGGTTGTATAACGTCACGTCAAAATATATGCACGACCGTGCAATACCATTTTTACGGACTCGAAAAATCGGCACGGGTGTGTGATAAATATCTTTTATCACATACCCGTGCCGTGCAAGGCCGTGCATATATTTTGTCGTGACGTCATTTGCGTGATACAAACATAGCGTAAAGACGCGCTAAATGTCAAAGAAGTACTAAGTATATGTTAGTGTTCATCCGAGCTGTTCTACAGAAATTAGAAACTTAGACGGGAGCGATAGCGACAGGAGAATGTTTCTAATTTCTGTAGAACAGCTAAGGATGAATACTAACATATTTAGTGGTAAGCTTTATTTGGCCTCATTATTATTTACTTTATTACGTCACTATGCGGTTTTATGAAGTACTATGAAAAATAGAAGTCGACTATGAACGAAATTCGATATAGTATCGCTTTTTGTTCCTTATAAAAATTAACGCACAACATTTTGAAGAAATACAGCGTTTTCATTGGATGACAAATAAATCTGGACACTAATAGCGTCAACGTATGCTATTTAGTGTCCAACCTTATTTGTCATCCAATGAAAACGCTGTATTTCTTCAAAATAATGAGTGTTAATTTTCATAGAAGAACAAAATGTCGATACTATAATAGTCACCTTCTATTTTTCATAGTGCTTCATAGAACCGCGTTTGTTAAAATAGTCATTTGCATAAAGCACATGCGCTTTCATTGGCCGCTTTTGAATATTAATTAAGTAAAAATGACGTCAAAATGTCAACCTGCATAAATTTTGTATTTATGGTTAAGGGATATACATGCAGCTCAGATTTAAATCCACGTCCTGGCGAAAAATATACTGCACGTGTAACAGTAAAAACCAATACAAAATGTCAATTAATATATGTAGGAAAAGGTCTGAAGCACAGGTGAACGTCGCGTAGCCATGACTTACACTATACCCCCGTTCCCCCTCTACAACCCAAAACCCTTAAACATCATCCAAACATCATAAGTATTGACAAAAATAAATTTTATGAAAAAAAAAAAAACAAATTAAGACTCTTAAAAATTATAAAGGTATTTTACTCTACTTTCATTTTGCATAGAAATATCACTAGCATCTCAATTATCAGCGCATATATTCATCAATTTTTCACCAATCTTAACAATCTTGGTGTCAAATCTTAGATAAATAAATACTCTTTAAGAAAACAACACTGGCACCTTCACTGATTATACGTAGCAATAAATATTCAAGCCCAAACTGTCAACAAATGAAACTCCGAAGAGATCTGATTACACTGTTTCGGTATAACTCTCACGAGTAAAACACACTAAATTCACAGTGAATGAATATTTCTTTGTATTGTGTATCTAAATATGATAAAATTAAATTATTATTTGTAATAATTGTTCAATCAAAGCATCATATGAAACTATAAGATATATATACATGTAGATAAGAAGCGAGACTTAACATTCTCTTTCGAATACTTTCTCTATATAGTCACTGGTACTGTAAATAAATTACAGTTCTCGAATTAAACATGCGAAAATTAAGTTAAATCATCGCGAAGATTTTTATATTTCGATTCGCACGAGGATTTAAGTTAAGACAAATTCAATGTTGAATGGCGCGAAAAGTATCTTGTGAGAATGTAAAATCTTGCTACTTTATCTATAAAAATACAGAAAGGCGGACAAAACCTTTAGAAAAAATCGTACATGTCAGTAGCAGTCCTTTTACTGTCCCAAGAAGGACACCGTATGTTTCAACTGTGCTAAATCCAGCTAGACAGTAACGGTTATTTAAAAGTGTCTTCTACTATGATGTATGATTTGGAACGCTTTTTGCGTCATGTTGGCGCTGGCGACAACACGACAAAGCGTCGAACGGCGCGTTGTCCGACTTTCTTCTTGTCGTCCTGTCGCTAACGATGTACGTCAAACGGCGCGTTGTCGTGCGGCGTGTTGTCGCGATGTCACATTGTCGCTCGGTTCAAATCGAAGGATTGGCTTATAAGCAAAGCGACAGGGCGACATCGCGACAACGCGCCGCACGACAACGCGCCATTTGGCGTGCTTCGCTAAAGACAGGACGAC